GGCGGCGGCAGCCCGCAGGGCCCCGACCCGGAGCAGGTGGGTGCTGGACGGCGGCGCCCGGCCCCAACCGTCGGGGCAGGGCCCCTCGGGGGCTTTTTGTGGGGGGGACGCTCCCGACGGGGCAGCTCTGCGGTGTGGGGGGTAGCTCCTGCCCCAGCGCTGAATTGCCAAGAGTTTTCCGCTCTTTCCAGTCTCAAAGTCAAATTAAACCCGCCGGCTTTGGTCAAACATTGTAGAATTGGGACAAGTGGGTTGTTTTTGGGTTTTTTTTCCCTCCCCTCCCAGGCGGAAGAGAGGGAGATTCAAGGCTGGATTTTTGGTTTGTTTGTTTGTTTGTTTGTTTGCTGGTTGGTGTTTCCAGCCCCCCACCCTCCGTCCCCACCGTCCCCTCTGCTCCTGTTGAAAAAACGGGAGCTGTACAGCCGTGCGTGGTACCAGCCGGTGTCCGGAGCCGCGTTGCTTTTTGTTGGTGTTGCTGTTGTTTTTCAAAAGTCCATTTGGCCGAAACACGCTGGCTGGACGGGACCCGCGCTGCAATTAAAATGGATTCGGCATCTCTCTTATTTTTGGCATGGGGCAGTGGAATTTTTGGGCCCCGTTCTCCTGCCCGCGCGCTCGGTACAGGCTTTGCTTTCCTCTTCCAAAGCGCTTTATTCTGAGGTGAAGAATGATAGACCATCAGGGCCTTTTCTGATGGCATCGTTATCTTTTCTTTTTTTTAAAAATGTTCCTTTGGTCATTTCTTTTTTTTTTCTTTTTTTTTTTTCTTTTTTTTTTTAATTTTTCTTTCGGTTAGACAATCGAAAACATCAAAGTTTATCTCCATGAAAAAGAACTATGGAAGAAATTTCATGAAGCCGGCACCGAAATGATCATAACCAAAGCAGGCAGGTTAGTAAAAATATTTGTATGTGGTATTTTTTTGCTGTTATTCGGTATTAAATGTGCCCGTTTGCTGATCGTAAATTAAGTTTTCGAAGTACTGAGAGACTTAGCGTTGATAACAGGTATCCGTATTGGTCTAGAGGCAAAAGCAATCGGCACTGGTGGTAGAGGTGATCTCTTTTATTAGACCAACTGGATTTTTGCAAAAAAAAAAAAAATTCTTTAATTGCAAGCTTTCGGGCGCAAACACCCTTCATGAGGCATTGGAGAAAAGACCGTAAAAGTTCTCCTGGGTAGAAGTGATATGGGAATGATAGGGTTGATCGCTGAATTTGAAGAAACCGTGATTGCAAATTCATTTGGGTTAGTTGCGTGGTTCGAATTCTGCAAGTAGTCTAAGCACTGTTTGGATGTGGCTAGAAATGAGCGTGCCATTTTAAGAGAAGCAAAAAATACTGCTTTGGACAATGGGCTTTGATTGCCTGAAAAACCCGGATTTGTTTTATTCGTTTTTGACGAAACTTCATTTTATAATTTCTCAGTCCTTTTTGCATGAAAGCAGGAAGAAACCTCCTCTGGAGGGTGCAGTAGGAAACGTTGTGGATTTGTGAAAAGAAGGGAAACTTAGAACGAGACATCTCCTGATAATCCTGTTTTTAAGCCTTTATCGAGCGGCGGGTAGAAGCTGCCATTTTCTGCGTGCGGATAGCCAGGTGGGAATTAGCCCGGCTGTGCCTTAGACTGGAAACACCTCCGTGCGCTTGCTGAATGAAGGGCACGCTCAGATAAATTGGTGGGACTTGAGGATGCTCAGCCGGTGAGGTGGCCTTCAGTATATTGTAGGACTAAACCCCATTTTAACCCCAAACCCATTTTAAACTTTGCACACGGTGGCATTGTGAATCCACGCCGCAGCATGAATAGGAGACCTTGCCAGGCACCAGTCTGACAGTCAGATTGCTCGGATCTTATGATCCTACTGAAGTCAGTGGCAAGTCTGCCCTTGGGATCAGGGTCCTGTTATTGAAAATTAAAAATTACTTCAAGCCCTTTAAATTCAAAGGCAGCTCAGTTCAGTACCATCTTTCTATGGCAGCTGCTGCTTTTGTGCAAAATTGTGCTTGGAGAATCATAAAGGGTAAAGGAAACCGTCAGGAGTGGTGGGAAATGTTTAGGGCAAAAATGCTAAATTCCACATAGAGGTCATGCTTCTCCCTGAGCTAAATCCAACCCCGAGATCCGTACTCTAGGACAGTGGTTCTCAACCTTTTTTTGTATTGGGACCCATTTGTAAACTTCGATGGCCAGTGCCCCTTGCTCCTGACCCTCTGCCCCCCGCCGCCAGGCCCCAGCCCCCCAGTATGTGGGGCATGAGGGGCCCCAAGCAGCCCATCGCAGGCTGGAGCTCTGCCAGCCTGCAAAGGAAAAGCTGCGGTTTCCCACATTTTTCTTCCTTCAAAGAAAATCACTTTTTAAAGTTTGTTACTCCATTTTTAAAGTTTGCACCCCTTTCGTGTATTCTTGTGACCCACTTCTGGGTCGCGACCCATGGGACTCCTAGGACTCTGCTACCCGGGGCTGGCTTCCGAGGGCAGCCGTGCCCTGTTCACAGCCGACAAGAAACCAGTGAGTGCGTTTCCTAACTGGCAGCCTGTCTGCATTGTTGCTCTCCTCTGAGCACTTCAAGGGCTGTTTTCCCCTTTCCCTGTGCCCACAAAAATGCAGCTCCATAACTATTGGCAGCGGTGGCAAGGTGCGCTAGGATCTCATTCCAGCAAACTGAACTTTCCCATGAATCACAAGGGGATGAGGCAAAACTGTATTTGTATATCCAGGTCAGCTACTTTAAGTTCCTGGTGATGTACAGTTTTGTTGGCAGGATGGTCCAGTTTGTTAGTTGTGGTGCAGGGAAGGACTCATCCTCCATTCGCGCTTGGCTTTGTATGGTCTTAGGGCTTGGTGTTTAACCCTTAGCTGATGTGATCAGTCCCTTTCCCTCCAAGAGGACTACTTACTGCTCATGGAAACAAAGGCAGCAGGATCAGAGTCTCGGCTATTTAGCCCTAAATTTATAGTCTTGTGTGAGAAGTAGTAGACCTTAACCACATTCTAGATATTACACCTCTCCCATGCGTTTGTTATCTCTGTGTCAGTCTCAGTTTAGCTTGTTTGAACAAGTCCATATGGGCAGGGCTCGGTCCTACATTCTTCGTTCACTTGGAGTGTCCCGGGACGTCCGGTTCGTGCTTCATGATGGGACAGAGTGGCTCTGGGGATTGACCCCAGGATATGAGGCCCTTCATTTCCTGATTACCACATCCAGATTCTCTGCTGGGGAAAATCAGTGCACCTCTATTAAAGTCAACGGGGTGGTTCAGATTGACCACAGCGGAGAACGTGGCCCTGGGCTTGAAACGGGGGCCCGAGTCGGTACAGATGAAATGCCATTCGTCTGCAAGGACTAATTGCTGAATAACAGAAAGTGAGTCAGTGACTTCACTTCTGTTCCTTGCGGGCGGTTATAATCACCGTCAACCTAAATGGAAACTGGCAACTCGGGGAGCCTCAGCAGAGAAGGCAACAATGGACTGGGCCTGGAAACTCGGTTTGATCCACCTACGGACTGGCAGGTCAGCGAGGGGGTGTGCTGGGGGCTTTGTATGCACATGTGTATAAGCTACCATTGCCCGTGCCTTTACCTGCAGTGCAGTAAACAGGGGACTTCGGTCTCCTCCAGGCCCATCGCTCCAGCGATTCTTGCCAGCCCTGAAAATAAAATAGTTAATAAAAACATTAAGCGTGAACCATGTTAAGCCCTGGGCAGATAGGACTAATATAGCTCGTAGCTGAGCCATGAGTCAAACCCTGCAGCGCCAGTTCTGGAAACTGAAAAGTCCCGCAGCAGAAGTGTGCAGTTTGGAGTCCTTATTTCAAATCTTAGCGCACCCAAGCCATTTAAATAAACAGCGGTAGCAGCAGCAATCCTCCCAGCGACCAGAGTCTGATATTTCAAGGGGAGTTAGAGCGGGTTTTCATTCTTCTGTGAGCAAAAAATAAAATAAAAAAATACGGCTCCAGCTGATTTTAAGCACCATTTATGACCCTGATCTGGGGATCGTCTTGGTGCGGGGGCTAAGTGGGCACCGTGATTCTCCCCCACCCCCGTGCGGGCTGTGAGAAAGATCAGCTCTCGCAAACGTCTGCCTTCTTTAAAGAAAAAGAGGAGCCTCATTTGCATCTCTAAGGTTGAAATGGGGTCTTTTGTGTGCTCCAAGGAGAGTAAAGAGAAGATGAGGGGAAGCACTACCTCTATGGTGATCGTGTAAAATTGCCTTTCTGTAGTAATAAGCCAAATATTGATAACTCTGGAGGGCCGAGTTTTAATTCTTTGTAAAACTCCACTGAGCGAGTCCGCTATAAATTACCAGGAATTTAGGGCTGAGAACAGCTTTGGGGGATAATTCCTCCCTCGTAGGGCTGATTGTTAGGAGACGTTAGGAGAACACAGCGAACTCCGCATTGAAACGGAGTGATGTTGGTGCCAAGAACGCTTGATTTATAAAGTGGAAACATCTTTAAAATGCACTCGCTATCTTTTTAATGTTTGACTGTTCCATCGTAGGGGGGGAAAGAGATTATTTTATATTAAAAGGCTCATCAACAGATAAAAAGTTTATGTTAGCAAAGTTCCCTGAACTTTGCATAAAACCGCTCGCCTCCTTCATATATAAAACACTGTGCGTTGCAGTGTACAGGACACGGCGCCCGGTGGTATATAAATCAGTGCCTGTGTCATGTTCCTCCCTTTTTTTTGGTTTGTTCTGTGTGCATTTTTGGGGGGTTTTTTAATTTGCACCCAGAATAATTTTATTTTACTTTACGTATTTTCTAGTCTACATTAAACAAAATGCCACAATTCATCGAGCACTTAGGTCTGCGCTCCCTGCCCTCTCCCAGTTCTTAGGAGTTGTAGGAATGAAGCTACAAAGAAGATGGAAAATTAGAGACAAAAAAATCATTCTTTTTTAAGCATACAAAAAATTAAGATATTATTTTAAATGGATTTTAATAAGGGGATCATGGGTCAAACACTGCCTTTATCTTTATATGGGGGACCCGGGTCCTAAGTATGACCCGGGTCCTGCAAAGAGGTCCACGTAAGTGGAAATGTTTTAACTGCCTGGAGCCCAAATGAAGTTGTGGGGGGAGGTGGGAGGAGGGGGCTCCACAGGGGTCTGCCTGTTCTCTCTGTAGGATCGTGGCATATAGGTGCATTCCTCTTTGTGAAATATTATAAGCCAGGCATGCAGCTCTAAATGACAAATTTAGAAGTTCATACAGAGAGATAATGATACAATTTTCCAGAAAAGTCCCCTTTACTATAAAAGCAGTTCTGTAAATGGAGAGGTCCTTTTAAGTTACCTTAATAAAATAAATCGAGATGAGATCATAAAGGCAACACCGCATGTTTGGAATTTAAATAAAGGCAAATACTGAGTGTGCATGTGCAGTTTTCCCATCCTTGTATACGCTTGCTCTACAGTGCTCGATCGAGATGAATTTACCCCCTTTGCTTTAGGGTCATTCCTTTAACCAAAAAAAAAGAAAGAGGTGTAATAGCTACAAATATCGTATGGTAGCAAGAAAAAAACAAATTATAGATCATCCTAATATGCTGCTTTTCTATTCAGTTTTATCTCCATGCTCTCATGTACACTCAAATTAAGCAAGCCCCAGAGTTTTAGCAATTTTTATGGCAAAAATCATTCTCTGTCTTCTAATTTTCTTGATCTTCCCCACTTTACTTGCTCAAGCAGTCCTTGCTCATGGAAGAAACATCTTTGCCTATCAATATTTCTTTTTCCCCCTTTTTTCCTGTTTTCTCAGCATTATGTTTCCTCCAAACTGTTTCTTTTGCCCCTCAGAAACCAACCCCTTGTCCCATTTTTATTCAGGTGGGCACATGAACGGGCACAGAGGCTCCTGCGCTGTCCTTAACACAACTG